AATATTTCACAAAACAATCAAAACGCAGGACAGATTCACAAATTGCAGTTCAATAATCCAGAGTTCAATGCAGCAAATTTTAAACTATTAGCAAGTTAAATAAGCATGAAACAAAGGAAACCATAATTAGCCCACTATAATTAATATGATACAGCTTTCCTAATGATAAATCGCCATAGAAGTAACGCATTGCAACAGCAAACTAGCTGTGCACATTTACAATTTCGGCCCTAACGCCAGGCGATACAATAACGATGTAAACACGCAAATTGCAGTAGACAGAAACCTTCTCGGCTCGGTCTACCGATAATAAAGAAACACATCAAATGCGAGTAATGAATTGAGACGGTTGCGACGTTGACAAACGAGAAGATGCAAACGTGTCAGCAATAAAGAAATAGACACTACCGGCGCTGGAGATCTAACAAACCTTATGTACAAATTTAACCGGGGCCGAGGGACGCCGTCCTGATGTTACACGGAAAGATTATCAAATTGCTCATTCAGCAACAAAAACTCTTAACCGTAGTATCAAAGCTTTTCGTGATGTGGATGACCCAAATAAATTTGCTATTTGGTTTAATGCTAGTTTATCCCATACCGAAGCTAGGGACGACCCTGCAAAAGCAATTTGATTGTATGGTTTCATTGACGCAGATGTTCTTGCCCGCTTGAAAACTGTTATTCCTGCCCAAGACAGTTTTAATTCTGATGCTATTTTACAATATTTGGTGAAGTTTTCTGGTTCAGCTGGTGAAACTAGCCAATGAAAAACGAGGTTCTTTCCCATAAGTATATGGCGCCACCTAATGTAAAAGGTAAGAACTATTTTAAAGAGTGTAAAATACTTTGTTATATTAATTAATAGTTTGCTAACTGGATATGCTTGATAAAGAACCATTGACCTATAGCTTATATGCATATATTTTGAGGCTGTCAGTAGTAAAGTTATTCCCACTAATAAGATTTCAGCATCAAATATAAAGATATTGTAATTGACAAAGGCCCACTAATAAAGTTTGACCGCTAACTGAAAGTAAAGACGTATCTAAAAGAAATTTATCTCTGTTCAGGTTTACTATTCCGAGATATACAGGAAGAATCTGCACATTGCAGCTCACAAAGCTCTCCAACAAGCAGGCATGATGAACTTTTGCTTCCACAATTTGAAAATGGAACTTTCAAATCAGATTTGTCAACAAAAAAGAAAACCAAAATGTTTTGTATATTTATTTTGCAGTAATACATGTTTCCTATTTAGACACAATCCTATTAGAATGCTTATCCAGAGCATTGTTTGGAGGGAAGATAACCTTAGGATCCAACTTTTATTTGCTCCGTAGCAAACAAAACTCTTGTCTATTTCATGATATGGACTGGCATTGGGTCAGACATGTTTTGTAGTTGTTGTCTCACAGTTATCGTCATTTAGCAATAAATTTTGAAATCTTATCGAGATTAATTAATTGCTAAGATTAGGTACTTTCATGAATGAAGAAATATCGAATCCAGAACAAAGTTCAGAATAACATATTCTCAAAATAGGAATTCTGATCACACTTACCTTAGATTGAGCAAGCTGCATTAATTGTGTTCTTGTGTAGCATGGTTGTTAGCATGCAAGGATTAGTGATAAATTAATAGAATAATATTATTGGCTGTGACACTCAAATAACGTTTCGTACTAAAACTAATCAATCATCCTTTCAGTCATTCTTCTCAAGTTGCAACTTCATTATCATAGCGTGTTAATAATTTCCACTTTGCAAAATATCTTGAAGAAAAAGAATAAATTAGGAATACAGCTTTGACCTCGAAATGTGAGATTTATTGATTTCATCATTCCTTGCATTCTTTTTCTTCAATAAATTGAAACATAATAACAAACATGTGTCATTTTATCGGTATTTGCATTAATTCAACTCAGGAATTCACTTTTGCTTGTCCAAACATCCCTGAATTCAAGTGAATGAATTGATCTTGTGATCATAATTGTTCGTTTATCTTTAAAACTAAGTCTGCGCTAAAATTGATTCTGCCATTGATAGTCGGGGAATTGCTACTTCGGGTCTGCACTTATTTTCATAATAAGGTATTCAGTTAAAATTGCTCAAACACACACACGCCCAATTTCCCTCAACATGGTTAAATTCTGGTTTCAGATCCATCGATTCGGTCCCAGACATGTTGCTTACACTTAATATGAATTTTTGTTATAACTTTGCATTTTAAATGTGCGACTGGAAGCGTTTTAAATTTTCAAACATAACCATATTTTAATTGGGAAATATAACCCACAGTGTTATTATCTATTGTTTTGCAAATCATTAAATTGTTCTTCATTTCAGATGAAGTTTTTTATTTAATTTTCCATTTTTTTTTTAAATGAGATATTTTCAGATCGCCAGCAACTAACTGATGACATCTGGTGGTTTACAGACAAATTGATTGATGACAATTTTCATTTCAAAGTTTATGAAGGGCAACTGAAAATTTCTAATTCAGTTGCAGAATCTTTAGAAATATGGGTGTTTTCAAACTGGAATGAAGACTTACTTCACAAAACGAAAGTTCTTCAGCAACATCCACATCCAAATGTACCCTCTGTCTTTGCTAGTGGTTTGTTAAAAGAAAGAAATAAACATTTTGTTGTCACTGAAAGATGCCAGTTTCTAACTATTGAGACATATTATGAAGAGAAGAAACAAAATAAATTTCCTTTTGATCCTAGACTTACTCTCGTACAAGCAAAACAGTTAGTTAGTGGTCTACAACATTTGCATAAACATAATATTGCTCATGGAACATGAAAGTGGTGTATTCTGTTTTCACTTGACATGCAAAACGTGAAAATTAGTCTTTATAACCGTAGCATATTTTCCTCCATAGTTTTTCCAAAACTTAGCACGGAAAGTGATATAAATATACTGGGTAATATCTTGTATAGATTGTGGTCTGCCAACCTTAACACATATAGGTCATTCAAATATGTTACGCAAGATAATGATCGTAGTGATTTACTGATTCCCAATCCTCACTTAGCCCGTGATTTGCTTACACAAATGACTCACAAAGATAAAGACCAACGACCAACAATTTAGCAGGTTGTTGATCATGAATTCTGGAAAAGTATCAACGTTTAGTTTTTCATTTGTTTAGTCTCGTACATGTTTGTATATTCTAGTTATCAGGAAATGATATATTTCAACTTGTTCAAAGATATTTGAATATAGTCGTTTGTAAACTTTATTTAATTCAATTCTATACTATTTCTTGTAGTAGCTAATGATAAAAATGTAAATGTCAATTGAAGTGATTTATAAGCAACAACAATGAACACTAAACTATTTATATGGTTCATATAAACGAGCATGCCAAAAACAGGTTGGAGTAAGGAATACAGATTGCGCTGGAGATTCAATTTTTCGTTAGGGTAATTTAGAATGCTACACTTATGATAACTTATTACTCGGACAAAATTAAATTCGAGAAAAAGTGCAGCCCCTCTCATAAATGTCATTATATCACCTCTAAGTACAAGATGAGAGACAAGTAGATATGGGTTTATTATGTTGTAATTACAGAACAGATGAGTGAAGTATGGAACCACACATCTAGCGGTAAATTGTGACAGATTCCGGTTTTTTCATATAAAGTAGCGCGTTATATATCACTGGCTGCTTTTACAGAGCTTTGGTCGAAGTAAACGCTTGTGGAACAAATGTCTTAAGGTAACAAATGAAGGATGAAGAATAGTCGTTTATTTATTTAGTTATGTGTTTCAGTTCTCATCCCAAACAAGGTTATAGACAAGTCCATGCGCTATTTAATCTAAATTGAAAAACAGCGAAGTATGGCCCACGCCTAAAACTATATACTGATTATTTTCTTTTACACGCTTTTTCCTGAAGTGTTTAATATTTTCGCTCAAAACTAAACCTTAGTCAAGAAGTGAGGGTTTAATAATTTGATCATCCCCATATTTGTAATGCAGTACCACACTGAACAAGAGATGGTATGATATGCATAATCAAAATGCTTTCATAAAATGTTTGCACTTTTCCTCAGAACAAGAAACAATGTTTAATTTGTCATTTCTGGCTTTAATCTGAGTTGATACTGGTTAAAATCGTTTATGAGAGACGATTGTTTGCTGGTGGTGGATGGAATTTCTATGTAGTACTGAACATCTGATTTTAATCCATCTTGGAAATCTCACATAGCATGTTTTTGTTCACAATACCCAAACACAACTTTACAAACGATCAGTATGAGGCGTTACGGTTTCGCATGAAATAAAAAAAGTACCCTATTAGGTGTCATTGTGAAAATATCGTCTCAAAATGTTTCGGCTTTTTGACCAGAAACGCGTGACGATGGTCTTTGCTGTTTGTAACTGTGCGAACATGGAACCTATAATACAAGGGTGTACAAACTGCGTCCCAGAGTCAAATATGACCGCAAAGAAAAATTGTGCGGCCGCGGAGAAGTGCAAGTTTTGAATGATGTGCCCGCGAAACAAGATTTTAGTTTAGATAATTTGGTACGTGCGACCCATTTTGATCACTTTGCCTTGCAAAGCCTATACCAGTACCTGAGTGCCACTGTCATATAAGCGAAACTAGGTAGCAAAATCCAGTTGCATATTACACAATGTTATAAGGACGTGGTTCTCACCAAATTAGTTTAAAGTCGGTGTGACAATAAATTTGAATAGAAGTTTTCTTCAGAAATTTTATGCGTTTCAACTCACCATTTTATATTTTCATCAACCATACATAACTCAACTACTATTAATTTTGTGGTTTATTTAAACTTATTAGTATGAAGTGATAGAAGTTGAGTTGAAGACACATGAAATAGATATTGTTAATCTTAGTTGTGCATAAAATACTGATAGTTAGTTTGCATACAAGCAAGACAAAATATGATTGTTTGATTGAAGAACGAAAATAATGGAAAAAATTGAATCTTTTGACTCTTAAAGAACTATGCATTACTATGTAGATGTAGTTTAATTGCAGGAATATTCTACAAAATTGATTATTTTTTAATAAAAAACACAGCAAAATGGCTTGGACATTTATCATAATTATTGAATAGTGGAAGATGTGAACAAAGAATCGTTTTATCATGTGCATTTTGAAAACACGGACAAGTAAAATTTCCATTTGGGATTAGCTATATTTCTATTCAATGTTATTGACTTTGTTACTGTATATTCTATAATTTGGCAGGTTCATTCATGTTGGAGAATATGCTATTACGATATATGAAATAATTTCTTAATTTCCACTAGAAATAAATTAGTTGTCATAATTCATATTATAGTTGGAGTAAATTTATAAAAAAAGGTTATGTTTGAAATTTCTATCGCTTGTAGATTAGTATTATAGCTGTATTCAGACCGCCATTCTTTTGCTTGTTACGCCTGAAAAAAATTAAAAATGTCAAGTATGGTATAATATTTAATATATATTTTGTATAAATTGAGCCCTAAAAAACCTAAAAACCCTTTTCTCCTAAACGCTTGCAAAAGAACTATAAAAACAAATAGGAGAGGTGACGATTGTAATAAAGTAGCATCAAAACAAATTGAGTGCTAAAATAAAGACTATATTCAGGGGGAAAATGATATATAACACATAGTTTTCATACAAACTGCTTTTATAGCTGCGATCAAAATTTGAGATGTAAGAGAAATTTTCAAAATATGCTTTCTAATGAGATACTCACAACTGCTTATTGTGTCTGAGGCTTTCTGCTGGATCCACCTGGCATTTCTGTTGACTCTTCGTACTTTCAAATGTTGGATTTTGTTTTCCACGTCTGGATACTCTATGTTTTCCAAAATAAGACCGCCTGGTTAAAAAAAATTGTAGGTAAAAAACACTATCCATATGAATAAGACTTCAAAAGACACTCGTCTACAAACTACTTTTTTTTAAACTTTTTCAATCATTTATATTTTATACTAACAAAAGAAAATTCAAAAAGCTAATTTAACGCAAATAACTTTCTTGATTTGTAAATAAACGATTGGATCAATCTATCTATGGTGTGCTAAGATAGTCTGTTTAATATTACCTTATGGTACGACAATAATGCTATTGATATCAATGTGATTACCTTCTTTCCCCGCAATATACAATAATAAGAATGATGATGATGAGTAATGAGATGGAGATAAGCACAATCGCAGCTATTTCACCTGCTCCACGTGCTGAAAAAAAGGGGGTAAAACGCTAAATAACATTTATTTTAAAACCTAGCTTAAGGTTAGTTTCTTTGCATTCTATTTTGTAAACCACATCTTATATCAAGGGTTCTCCAAATTTCATTCTATCGTTTTCCAATTTCCAAAAGCAAAATTGAATTTATCAACGATGATGTAAAATTGTAAACTGCCGTTTACGTACCGTAAAGAAAATATGAACAAATGTTGATGATCTGGACCGTCTCTCCATAGTAAGATGAAGTATCGTTAGCTAATACATAGCCGCTATATGAGCTACGGATAAATATGTTCACATACTTTCTTGTTGTAAAATTTACCCCAATCCAGCTCTGCGGGATAAATTCATTTTCAGTATAAAATCTCTGGCTCTAATGGTATGCGAATGTTTCAAATTCAAAGTTTCAGATCAAGTTTATATAGCAGACTTGTTGCTCAGCAATAAATGTTTGAAGACAATAAAAGTACAGGTTCTCAACCAAGCTTGGCAAGTCCATAGAGCCCACGGACAAAATACATATAATTCACACAGTATATTTACTTACATGGAGGCTCCGAATCAGTTTTTACAATTACACTCGGTTTAGTACAAACTGAATTGTTTTCTTCATTCGCACCACATACTCGTATAGTGTAAGCTGTGTCTGGTTTCAATCGTCCATTGCATTCTGTATTCGTACCCGTTTGGCAAGTATTGTCAGCACCTTTATGCAAGGTGGGTATGTATCAAAGTATGGGTATAAATCGAAATATTCAGTTAAAGAGTTAAAGTACATTTGCGGTAACCAAAAAACGTTCCTGAAAAAACAGGAATAGGATATGCTAAAATTATCTGTCAATAATTTTTCACGGCAACCGCCTGAGTATTTTGAAATATATTGAGCTTTTGCAAAGTACATTCATTTACACGCTCTCGCTGAAAACCTTTTTAAAATAAACATAAAAAATCTAGCATTGGCATTAGCTGGAAAGTATATGAAAAAATTTTATGGGGTCAAGGGCCAAGGTAACATCCACCACTGAAAACATTATATTTTTTTGTAAAATTATCAGTTACAATAATGAACTTACCAATAACTACACCATTGTTCACAACAGCACGTCTTTTTCGATTACTGTTATTTTCGCATGGAACGGTAAGGGTAACATAAGGGGAAGAAACATCTTCTTGGGAAGAAGTTGCCCAAAATCTTGATAAATCAATGCTGACTGAAATATTAATGGCCAAGATTAGTCTTTCAACATGTTGTTTATAGTAATTCATGGAAAATTTTTATTTTGAAACAAAGTGAACAACAGACTATGAATCACTTTGCTAGAGTGTTCTTGCAGCGATCAAAATCGCATTTCTTTTAACATACATCACTGGGCAAATTTTAATTTAATCGACCCGATTTTGGTCAACTTGTACTCAACAAACAACTTTGGTTTTGAGTATTTTTGTATCGCAGATTAAAATGGGTTAAAATCACATGAACACTAACTTACCCTATGAAATGGGTAAGAAATGCTGAACGAGAAAATCTGGTCATTCCAAAAAATAAATACTAGCTTCTGAATCAGACATATCAATGGCTTTCATAAACAGCTTTATTTGTAGAAAAAAGCATAAAAATAAACATATATATTTATGAATATCATTTGAGTTTTAAAAGTAGGTATAATTCCATTTACCTGTTGATCCATCTTGAGTAACTATATAAATCATTTTTGTGATTACTCCAGTATCTTCATTGAATACAACATGCTTTTCTTCACATACGTTGTTAACTGTGACAGTATAATAGGCAGGGTACGTCTCTGTATCGCTCGTATTTGTAAGAGATATTGTGTAGTTTTGATCTCTGAGAGTAGGAGCTTGAAAGTGTGAAAAAGTACAATGCGTGGGTACATATATTTGATCATGTATCTGGCAGGTTCCACATTTGGATCAGTAATCAGTAATTTATTTTTTCACCAAACAGAAAAAAACACTTCATGCAAATAAATATGAAAAAGGAATTTAAATACGGCATTTCAGGGCGAAAGGAATCGCGAAAAACCAAAACTGGTTAACGAGCAGCGACACCCATGAATTAATCTAACAGAAATATAAACAGGAGAGAGAAAGAAGTCAAACATTATATCATGAGCAAAAAAAAGACAGCAAAATTCAAACCAAATACGTACAACACTAGACTCCGAGCACCGTCAGTAATGTGACCATGGAAACGACATTTCAAAGATATGGCCACACAGAGTGCGGTGCCGGTAACCATGGACTTTGTTAAGTTCACCTTCAAATAGAGAATGAGGTGGAGCTGAGGTGAGAAAGAGGTGTTGCTGGAGTCATTACAAAGCCCAAGAAGAATTGAGAATTAAATGCAAAAGCAATCCAATAAGTTAAAAAGCAAGATAACATGAATAACAGGTAAGAAAATATTTAAAAGAAAAAAACACACAAAAATTCTTCCGGCAGGATAAGAGTTATTATTAAGATAGCTCACCAACCTACCTAGCGTATGCAATACATAGCCATACCGGTTTTAAAAAATAATATTTGATCAATCAAATAGAGGATGATTTAAATATTAATCAACAGCAGCAATAAATGGATTTTGAGTTTTTAGCTCCATCTATATGTTCTTATGAAGACTCTTAGTCTTACGAAATATATTATCTATGAAAGCAATTGGTACATGGTTCAAAAATGTGTAAGGCGAGTTATACGGTTATATCAATATATAAAATAACAATAATTGAGAAAATAGCATACCAACATTTGATACGAAAACATTAAATAACAGATTCAAAAACCCAACTACAACTGTTAGGATCTGTGGATCAGATCGAGGATTCGTGGCAATATCAAGACTGAATGCTGACAACACATCAACTCAAGGTCTTGGCAGAAGACAGGTAGAAAGAGAGCATGAGTTTTTTATATTTAAATTTAAAGATAGAGTATGTGGAGTCGCGTAAACATTGGGGGATACTATTCCAAATTAAAACGCCTTTATATTTTAAGGAATTTTGGGTTTTGCTTAGGGAATAGCGGGTACAATTAAATTAGATCTTGACGAGGAGCGGGTGTTATGCTCATGCATGGAACTAAGTTGAACAAAATGATTGTCAAAAGCTGCAGGTAATTTCTGGTTGTGGAATTGATGCATGATCTTAGAGATCTCAAACTTGTGAATGTCGGGCAATTTTAATACCCTGATCTTGTGGTATAAGATGCTTAAGTTGGAACGAATGGGTGCTCTAGTGAGAATTCTAATGGCCTTATTTTGTAGGACCTCTAATTTATACAAGTTTGATTGGGAGGCAGCTCCCCAAGCAGCTATAGCATATTGTAAATGGGATTGGAAAAGGGCAAAATATACAGTTCGCAAAGTTGCGTCTTGTACATAGTGCCTGAGCTTTCTCAGAATCCCTACCGATCTTGAAAGTTTTCTGTGTAGTTCAGCAGTGTGGGTTGGATATTCAGCAGTTGGATATTTGATCTGGCATGAAGTTTTTACATTGCAAAGTCTACAATGGATGTATATATAAATAATTCGGATTTTCTGGCATCTTTAACTCAATGTTATTGACTGCTTCTATAGGATATGGTTGGTTTAAAATCATTCCTCTCGGGCAGTCTTGATTTTGTAAACAAATGCAAAACAGCAGTCGTTTTAACATCTAATATGGCATTTGGCTTCATATCAGTCATATTTGTATTGCATTCAAAAGGTTCACACAAAATGGGTGGGTTGGATTATTTTATATAACAGAAGATAAACATTGTAACAACACTATCCGAAAAAAATAAACTTACTTCCTGCCCTTGTTTGCTGTGATAAGGTAGATCCCGAACTCGTTCCAGCTGCGGAGACAGCAAATACAGATATTCTGCAAATATAGAAAAGAAATAAATTATTGAATGTTGGAAAGGTGTTGACACAAAATACAAGCAAATAGCTCCGATGAAGAGATTCTACAGACTAGCGGGTCTAGGTGGAAATTTCGGTATAAAATTTCCTTGTGAAGTTAAAAAGGAGAATTGCGGCAAATCAAACAAGTGAATTGAACAAATATCTTCTATTTGAATAAGTGAGAGCAGCGAATTCAATTATAAATGGAATACCAACGTTATGATGTAAATGGAGAATTGTAATACCGCTCGGTCCAATCATATTTGCTATTGTTTTTGTGATCCGTATGACAAGTTGAAATATAGAGTGACAAAAAAGAACAACTCAGGTTATTTGGACATAATCTTTTGACAGCATGACTTTTGTGTAAAGCACGCAAAGACTACTTAAAGTTTGGCTACAGTGTCATATAAATTTTCTTCTTTTGTAGATGCATTTAGGAAATTTATGAGTTTTAATTCCCCTTGTATAAAAAATTCCATCAGTCAAAATAAGACAAAAATGATTATAAATAGTCAATAGTAACAAGTGTAAGAACTTGTTACTTATCGATCTTTAGATCGGTAAGGATGTTGATAGATATTTGTCTGTTTGTCTGTCTGTCTGTCTGTCTGTTAGGTGCACGTGATATCTCACGAAGGCTTGATTGAATCTGCTCCAAATTTTGCATGTGCATCCATCATATCCCGGAACAGACGCCTATTGATTTTGGATGAATTATGTCGTATTAGCGAGTTATTAATCAATTAGAGTCATGAATCGAAACTGCAGTTTTGATCTGCAGTTTCGATCGATAAGTCTTCGGTCTCCGACCGATATTCTCGGTTATCATCGGTTATTCTGCAGTTTCGATCGATAAGTCTTCGGTCTCCGACCGATATTCTCGGTTAGAGCTTCATAACCCAGGCCATAAAACCTAACATACCTGTATGTTGTATATGCTGTGAGTTCACTCAGAACAACAGTTGTGTCAGTAGACGTTGCAGTCTGAGCAGTGCAGTTGGGACAATTGGCCTGAAATGTATGAGCATATATTAATATTTATATTCTGAGATGAGGCTTTTAAATAATAACTGTGGCATCAACTTCAAATGTTCAAAAACAAAATATACCAAGCTAATTTATGGTGTAAAATTTCTGCTTTGAAAGCTTATAATCATTGACATCAGGTAATATTTATAGCATCAACAGATAAAGATGCTTCAACACTTGTCAGTTTGAGTTTGAATTTGAACAACTGCAACGAAATTTTGATGATTGTAGTATTTTTAAAAAATTCAAAAGTAGAGTATAATACTTTTTTGCAATATATAAAAAGAGTTGATTTCGTATTCGCTTTTTGCATCTTCAACCATTTTTGAAATCAAAGTATTGCCGTCAAAGTATTTGCAATTACTGGGTAATTGGACGTGAATTCAATAGCAAGCTACAATTGGCCATTACAATGCACGAAGCTTGCACATAACGTATATTGTAAGAAACAGTCATATTACCTGTATATATGAAACCAAGTAAGATGTTGCTCCATCTACAGCTTGTATTGTCAGTGTAAGCTGAACATCACTATCACGTGCGACGGTGAATAACGGACTTGAAGGTACTGTAAGACAATTATATCAACTTCTAAAATTTAGTAATTTTAAATCGTATCTACTAGACTATTTTATTTGATTTTTTATATAGGCTATTTTAAACGGCGCCTTGGCATCAGCGTCATTCTGAGCAACTATGGTTTGAGTTAGAGGTGAAAAATTTGAAATGCTATGATTTATCGACGTAAGGTGTCGGTAGATTCATTACTCTACGGGTGTTAAGAGCTTGAAATTACATTTAAACCAGTATCTACTGACAGACAATATTGCTAAGAAATACACAAGTAGCTATTTGATGTGTCAATGATTCGCGACTAAACTGCACACTCTTCACCTAATCCACGTATGATATTTTTGATATGCGATACTGGGGCAAAAAGGTTCGCGTTCTCCGAAACACATAGTACATCTTGTATGTACGTACAGCTAGCCTTGTTGTCCTGCCTGATACTAGTTTAAAGCAAATCTGTGGAACAATTTGTATAAAATATAATACATGTTCACGTAAATTTCATACCTGATGTAACGGTTGTTCCTGGTGGTAATTGAGATGAACCAACATCGTTCACGGTTGATGTAATATGAAGCTTATAAACAGTATTATATGCAACATTTGGAACGGTTATAGATATCGAAGATGATAATGATGCTGTAACCTGGAATAACGATTTTTGTTTAGACTTAATGTTTCTGCATTTATTGAACGCAGATATGATTTATCAGTAGTTACAAATCGGGGGCTCGGGGATAAGTTAATGTGTGTTCACAAGGCTAGAAACAAAACTGATTTTACTTTGCCCTTGACTTCTTTTCCTAAAAAAACGTTCTTCCTATGTTCATTGCTCGCTAAGGTTATTTTATCGGGTACTTTCACTCTGTTGAGCATTAACATAATGGTAGTCGGAATCTATCCATAAAAATAACACTATAAATACTACTGGAATCATAAACAGCGAGCCCATCAGTATAAAATGCTTACGAAAGGGGACCACGAGCCATAAAGCTTGCCAGAATGCTTCAAGCCAGTAACAACATATTTTTTTATTATATATTTAATTTTCCTTTCCAGTTAATATCCAACTCGTTATTTCTTAACATTCCTATCCGTCGCGAAGTATACAGCAAAGAAAAAAAAAACTCAACACCAGGTCTAAATCACAACACACTATGGTTATAAGTCTTTTTAGTTTCCATTAGAGATTCCGACTTTGACGTTTAGTATATAATATTTGAATCTAAAAAACGCACAACATTGTTTTGCGGAAATAACTCTAACATATTCTAAATTATATGCGTATTTAAATATTATATATATGCGCGTACTAACCCCCGCTTGCCGAGTTGATCTATCGGGCGCTATCAAGATTACTCCATGAGATGTAGGTCCAGTAATCGGGGTTCCGGCATTGAACGTCACAATAATTACTTCCGGTAGTGATACAGTCACTACATTAAAGATAGGGTTTGGTCCTGTAAAAAAGTATATGTTAAAATTAAAATGTTAATGTAATTGACATTCAGAGAATATATACTTCAGGATACTTACGTCCAGCGGCTGTAGTAAATGTAAAATTCGAACTTGATTCACCTCTCCCACCGAGAGATACGGCGACCACAGAGACGACGTATTTTCTATGTTAAAATGAGAAATGTTGAATATTATTATTATCTCATGTATTTACTAGATTTTATCAATTTATAACCTTATGTTATTTAGTGTTGTTTAAAATAACGAATAAGGCTGCAATGCTTACACATGACTGCACTGGCTAAAGCATTAGCTCAGAGTTTAATCGTTTGTTGTCACACTGTGCTTTTCGCCATTTAAAAATCAGTAATCAGCTTCAACCTATGTTGTTTAATTTTTTGTTTTCCTGGATATTCCAACATAAAATATATCTGTTTATTTTTTTATCACCAAATATTGTAAAAAATAGCATTGTAATTAATAAAAAACTTTACCTGTAGGCTTGTAGGCCAGTTATTGTGTATCTGTTGTCAGCTGTAGCTGCGAATGTTTGCTGGTCGTTCTCATGGCAACTTGCGTCATTAAATGAATTGCAGTCATCGATATCTTGTCTATGTTAATAAAAGGAATGTAAATATGTTTCACAAAGTGATATATGTATATAGAGGGGAGTTATCAATATAGAAACCTGAAATACATGCTTTCATACTAACAATATGTGATGCCATAACACAGTTTTTTAGTGTGGGTAGCAGGGACCATGAAATTAGGAAGAAAAGTTTTGGAGTCGTAGTCGTATTTTATTACCCTGGGTCGAAACTGGAGAAGAATTTGGTAAAGAATTGAGTAAGAAGTCATTATTTCTGAGTCAGGAACTTAAGCGTTTTCATTATTGTTACCTATCGATCTTAAGATCGTTCGGGCGTATTGTGACGTTCAATGGCGGAACCCCGATTACTGGACCTACATCTCATGGAGTACTCTTGATAGCGCCCGATGGATGGTATATTGATAGGTATTTGTCTGTCTGTATGTATGTCTGTTAGATGAACGCGATATCTCACGAACGCGAGGTTGAATCTGCTCCAAATTTTGCATGTGCATGCATCATATCACGGACCAGAAGCCAATAGTTTTTGGGTCGTATAATTAGCGAGATATTAATTAATTAATTATCGCTCGATCAATAAGTCTTCGGTCTCCGACCGATATTCTCGTTACATTATTGCTAACAAGAGTCGAAATATACAATCAGCTTAATGGATATCTCTAACTCGTGAAATGGAAAAACTTTTCTCTACCTAAAATATTTAATAATATGTTACCTCACTGTTATGATATATTGTGTGACAGCAATTAGAGTATTGTTTGGAGGTGTGATGACTGCGACTACTGTTGAACTGGTGATATTACTTATTGCAACGTCTTGAGGCACTTCGGGGACTGGATAGAAAATAAAATGAATTTATTGGGAAATTCGAATCTATTATATATTTAATTTTAATGGGATATCACGTAATATCTGTCGGTTTTGGTTTACTTTTATAATCGTTATTATTAAAACAAAATTCTAGTTTTAATCAATATCTACAAAATTTGGTGACAAAAAAGTTCGTTCTTCCTATGGTGCCTTATCATAGTAGAGAGATTTCGATTTAAACACCATGCTCAGGAATCTACCCAAAGTGAATCTATGCTCTATTTGAAGTATTCATGTTTTCTATAATACAGTTGAGCGCATGTAACATTGTTTCATGTCTAAAACATTAATTAAAATGAACGCTTTTCAACGCCTTGACTTTGAAAAGTTTACTTAACAGAAGATCAATATGAAAAAGCTGCAAAGAAATTGAGTTTGACAACAATAAACGTTGATTCTGTAGGTTACGAAGTTGTGAAAAATAAAGTTATAATATATACATGGAACAAAAAACATATTCACATTTCAATCAGCTTTTTACGGGAACAATTTGAATAAAAATTTGATTGGTATGTTAAATGTCTTCAAATGAGTGTTTACGCATAAAGGGAACCAAACGAACTCTCTATATACCAAGTGTTATAGATATGAGAAGATTTTTTTTATGTACAGGCAGTCCTCAACTTACGACGTGGTTTCGTTCATGAGAATCGGTGTAACCCGAATTTCCGTGTAAGTCGGAACATTATACCGTACAGTACATAAATTACTCGTACGTACTCATATCGTACTGTATTGTCCACGTCATTTACGATGTATATGACGAAAACCAATGAGCCCAAAGCACTGATTTTTGTGATCACAATGATCCAGTTTAAGGGCTTAGATATTACAGTACAGTATTATCTTTTTCATTTTTATGGAATGCGCTATACATTACGCTATACCTCCTATCGATAGCTTATCGAAATGGAATTCGAAATATCACATTGCTCAGACCATATGGCAAACTCGACATTCTATAAGACTGAAAACTCACCAACTGCAGTATTACCTTTAATTAGCCCCTTCGATATCCGTACTACAAAGCACAGAAAAAGAATAATTTTCCACATTTTGGTTTTTCTAACTATTTTTCATTATATTCCATAAGTTATAAAAAATTCTAATACCCCTGCAGAACGCCAAAATTGCATATTCAAGTTTAAAACTTGTTTGTAGAGTATAACAGAATACTATAGTTTAGCGATGTACAATACAAAACAATGTTAATCAAAAAGCATAAAGCAAGCAACTGTTAGGGATCCAATGGAAAATTGTTTTAAATATTTTCACGATAAATCATATAAGTTGCACAGACCAGCGTTTGGGCGTTACACAGAACCTTCAGCAATATAAGTGGCGTTATAACGTATAATATAACGTTACGTTGCGAAATTGTAGCTTCGTCCGAAAATTGAAAAATAAATTACTTCATATTAAGTTATTAAGTAAAAACCTTAAACTAATATTGACTTTTGCGGATGCCCAACATGGATTACAACATGCAATCCTGAGTTTAGAGTTTTATTTGTAATATTTGGCCTGAATTAAACTGACCTTACCCATGCAGATACAGTACATACACCCATCCAACGTTCCCTCCAAGCTGCGAGGTGCGCGGCCGCGCAGCTGTCCGAGAATCCCCGCGCAGTACTTTCGTTCTGCGTTCTGTGTTCTTTTCTATTTTTCCGCGCGGACCTTTTTTTTGGGCGCTCACATGGCCTTCTATTCCGCGCAACTCAGCAAGCTTTTAGAGGGAACGTTGCCCATACACATGCACATACAGTACCTTACACATACAGTACCTAGTTTCCATGAAATATTTTCTATAGTTTTCGATAAAAAATACATAGTTGTAAAATGCTTGTCTGAAGAAGTCTGACCTCGGTCAGACGAAACGTTACAGAAATATATTTGTGTTCGTGTGCAGCAAGACTTTTGAATTGAATAGAATGCTCACATCTGTTCTCATCATGATCGTCGCGATATATATTTCATCGGCCGCAGTGGAAAGTCAAATTATTTGGGAGCAATGTTTGATTTAATTGGTAAAATTTTACAAAATCAAATTTTGTCTATTTGTCTAAATGGCAAAATGATACAAAATCAAATTTAGGTCTATTTGTCTTAAAATAAAATGTTTTTTAATTTATTCAAAATTTTAGGTAATATTGTTTGTCTGATCCTATGCCTTTGTCATCCCGAAATATCGAAAAAGACCAAAATTGACGACAAATGTGTCGATGATTCAAATCAAAAATCATATTATAACTATATAAAAAAACATTGACAATTGTTTGATATAATTACTCTACAGGAAATTCCTTTTCTGCATTCGCATTGTTCGATCAATTTTGGAATCACAACAAATATGTTATTTTTAAATTTTCTTGCGTTAATACAGTATCGGTGTGTAATGTGTATTATGTGCTAAGAAAGTAATATTTTTTTTTAATGCGAAGTAATTGACCAGAAAGAAAAGTCGGCCTGGGTTTGCCCAATACGCGATCAATTTTAAAAGTATTTTTCAAAGCCACAAGTTTAAAATTTATTCATGTCCAGCCAAGCGTTGTTGCGATTTTGATTTAGCAAAGCTTGATATATGATTTGGTCTATATAAATCTTTTATTATCTTGTACATAGCCACGACTGTGTCGCGTTACGCTTTGCAAAAATGAGTTAATATTCATTATGTGTACTCAGTTAAGAGTGCTTTCACAAAACTTGCTGTCAAAATATTCAAAATCATGTGGGTGATGCAAAGTTTCAAGTTTCACTCCCTTCTTATTTATGTGAACCAAAACTTAAAGCTTGGCTTGACTTTATTTTTTGGGATATGTTTGGGCCCATGGAAGTTAGGTTTTCTCAACATTTGACTACAGACAAAAACTTTTCCGATAACTTCCAATTGCAAAAATGTTTCTTGCTTTTTTAAAGAAGTTTTCTCAAAGTCAGGTCACGAGAACTTACTCGAAATGAGAGAGAAGGGTTCCTGAGTGAAGCTACTGGGACGACTAAAATGACAAAAGCTACGGACATTATAAGTTGGGAATTCCACATAACTGAAATTCTTGGAAAACTTTGGGCATAAATTTTTTTGTGAACATTGATTTGATTTACATTGACTGTAGTCGGATGAGAGCTCACAGTCAACCGAATTTGGCAGATAAAATCAGGATATTTTGCTAATTTTGATTTTACTTATATGGCTTTTGGAAACGGGTTGTCTGGGTAAACTAATAATTATACGATAATTAAGAATGTAACAAGTTAAAAATAACTAAAAACTTACAAATAGGAAAAACAGAAAAGTACAAATCTAATTAATGTTCACATATCACGGTGGCAAATATTGATGAATGAAACAAGTGACTGGCCACCTAATATTCTATTGTTGCGTCACCATTATTGCTGGTAAGCCTTTGCTAAAAAAACATAATTAAATAGATGCTTGAAGAAATGTTTATACTAAATTCCAGATTCTAGAGGGTTTGGATCCGTTTACACACTCGCGATTTCAACTTGTTTTAATTTGTCTTGTAGCAAATGCAAATGTGCTTCATACAGCATCAGCGCACGATCGAAAATGTATCTTAAAGGAACGCTAATTTGTAATAGCCACATTCGTGAAACTCTTTTAGAACCGTGATGGGAGAAATTGTTATTTAACGTTAATCTAACGTAGAATAATAGGATTGAAAGCATGCGAATAACTATCCTGCATATTTCTCTGTAACAAAAATTTATCATAGACTTATAACTTTACACAATCTCATAAAAAATACCTTGAATAATATTTGATTATTTTTTCCGCCAAACGACCACGCAAATCAAACTGAAAATTTGTCTAAAGTACGAATCAGTCTTTTATTATTTCAACCTCAATTCGGAGCTTTACTGGGACCCGAACGTAGTCTGACTAACGCCACTGCTTAAACCGGGTGTCCTGGTCTAAAATACTTTCAGATCTATAGTACATTGTAGTAGTTTGTTTCTTTTTAATAGAAACCCATATGACAGAGAATTCTATATAATATTTTAATGCTGTATGCAAAAGGGTATCTGAAAATCTCCAAAATCTGATTCTCAGCTAAATGTAAAAAAAATCCGATCCAGGCACCGCAATAACAAAATGTTTACAATAAAATCGTTTGATATTTTCGTTTTGTTTTTCAAATTTTCAACCCCAATTTTAGAAGTCTCAACTTATGGCTTCGAATTTCGACTCTGGTTTTCCCTCTAATACCAGACAATTCCGAACCCAGGATCCGACCTCACAGTCTCAAAAATCGGAACGTATGGTAATCCTAACTGATAGTCAGTCTATCCTAATATAAGCACGTAAACAGCACCCAGGAAATGAATCGTACTGAGTATCAATTGTGAATAAACACCGTCGGTATAAATCAATAAAATGAAACTAGTGTCTCGGAGAATTATAATTGCGCCAAATATGTATATCTGCCAGCAATCTTCCGGAACAAAAGACTATGTAATTTTTTTAACTTAGCATTGAAATATAACGTCGAGCACTTCAGCTTTAGTTCAGCTAACCTAGAATGTCATGATGTTTGTAATTAGAGAAATATCTGTTGCGTGAATTCGAATATTTTGTCTGAGTATTGTCACACACTGTTTTGTATGTATCGCGTACGCTAATTTTGACAATTGACCAGTTCAACATTGGCGATTTAGACACTTAATAATCAAACCGATGAACCGCGTAAAATCAGAGATTACCATTCCAAGTGACAACAATTCTTCATTGGGGTATTGGTATTTCTTTGTGTCTTGAAATTTTATTGCGATAACTAAACACGGGCTATTATCGTCCATAAAAGACCCCAGATGTATCACGTCGTTGTCATGCAGTACCTCGTCTGGATGATAAGCATAGGAACACGAGTGTTTATTGGATCTCCGCTCTAGGAGACCCTTATTATCAGTCGTTCTGTCTCTCTGTTTGTCTGTCTGTCTGTGTATCTGTCTGTCTATTTAGATGTAGCGTCTTAACGGCTGGACCAATCTGGATGCAATTTTTCACGTGGATTATCATGTCACTCTAGTAATGTGCGTTTTATAGATTCAAGTCCGGATTGAAGTTTCGTTCCCATGGTAACAACAAAAAACGCGCCGATCTTTATGAAAGTTCTAGTTTTTTTCACAATTTATCGCCATTGGCGGAGATCCAACTGGGCGCCTACCGGCTTGTACTTTATACCACTTACTAAGAAAAAGTTCACGGTTGAATTCACGAAAAAATGATTTCATTTCAGTAATAAGCCCTGTTGCTAGGAAACGAAATTTTGGATTCTACATATTTTGAAATGTGTTTTTTGTTCATCTTGCAAGATTGCGGATTATTAGTGTATATTAAATATTACAAAATACAACAGTATTATTACGAGGTATAACATCTTCCCAAACTCATTTAAACTCGATACATGTTACGAATTAAGCTATAAGATTGAGATGTTAACATCTTTAAACACGACTCGGCACCGAACGAGGTTTTCATAAATGGTAAACAAACACGCCGCAATTATCTAAGCAAGTCCTGAGATTCGGGAAATTAATACATCAATACCGTAGAGTTAATATATCGATTATTAAAATTTAGACTGAGATATACATCAATAATTTAATCATTTTGAAATAAAACTACTGTAAGAACTCTTGTCTTTTCCATTGATTTACAATTAAGTGAAGACAGTTATTCAATGGCAAATATGTAATTATAAAAATATTTTTTTTTTGTTTATAAATTTCATAAGTTTTATGGGTACTCCTGAAGTATGCGCACCAAGATGCCGCATAACCTGAACCATAACCTGCTACACAACCTGAGTTCAGTTGTGCGCCATCTTGGTGCGCCCTTTATAAATTTATATAACACTGTCTAACTATGTGAAGCAACAGTCAGTTTTGAACATTTCATATCGTTTTTCATAACATTTTTTTAATAGACGTCTAGTAAAATTTTAACTTCTGTTTTGACTTATTTCCTAAAAAAAAATTATCTTCAAGTAGTTTGGTTTTATTTATCTTGGTTTGAATTGACGGTAGAATGAACGAATCTCAGAAAAATTTGAAACTGGAGGAAAATAAAGAACCGGAG